GAGGGGACTGTTCCCCCATGGCGTGCAAGAGACAGCCGAGTTGGTCATCTTTGCTGGCCCGCAGCCCTGGAAAATGGAAATTTATTGTTCCCTGTCTGAAAAGACCTGTGGAGCTCTCTGAAAGGGTGCTTGCTACAAGAGGGACCCATCTCCCTGCTGACCTCATGTTCCTTTGAGCATCAGCTGTGGACTAGAGAGAGGAGGTTTTGAGTGGAGCTAGATGTCCACCTGAGCCGTTCTGCTCGGCAGGGTTTAGGTGGCCTGGACAATGACTGCCACATGGGAGCAGATCGGCAGCTTCGGGACAGAAACGGCTCCTTTATAGACTTAGATTGAAGAACTGGCATATCTAACCACTCAAAAGAAAGGAGCTGACATTACAGCCTCCCCAGAGGGACCTGGACCTAACTGCATTTTTTCTAAATACTGAATGATAATACTTTCCTTTGAAGATAACAATTTCCAGACTCAGAAAGCTGATTCCCTTATCAGCATTTATATCAGCGGAAGTTGTCTTACCAAGGCTTGTGCTCCTGGACGTCATTTAGGAAACCATTTTTTATCATCCACTTATCATTCAAAAATTTGGACCTAGAAATCACCAACAAAGAGCAAGTCTGTGAGCCTTCCAGAAGAAGTCGTGCTTTGTTTCATGCACTAGACCGCAGCACTGCCCCAGGGCTCCCATGATTTTTGCAGCTGGCTGCTTTTAGCCCCTTTTAAGGTCAATGGGAGCTGCGGGTGCTCAGTAACTCTTAGAAGCATGCCAGCTATTTGCCTTCCTAACTTTAGGCATGCAAGTTCAAAAACTGTCGCTTGACTGATTCCTGCTCCGTGCAGTAAGTCAGTGACAAGAGGAAACAAAACCCAAGTGTCCCAACACCCAACCCCTGGTGCTTGCCACAGTAGTATGCTATTTCTCCCTGTTGTTTGTTTATTTTCCTGTGAGGGAGACTCCCAGCTCTGGGCTCACTGTGGGTGCCATGCTATCAGAGATACCAGAGTGGCTCTCCAGCAACCCACACCACCTGGGCTCAGCAGTGGTAAGCTCATGTCACCAAAGGGCCTCATAGCCCCAACCTGGGCCATATGCAGAGGGGAGGGGAGAAGGCTATGGGAGCTCCCACTCCACTGCTGGAAAGCGGGCGAAGAAGCGAGAAACTCACATGTAGTTCCTGACGGAGTCAGGCAGGATGACGACGCAGCGCTGACCTTCCTTCAGGTCCTTGGCAGCCTGCACGGCGATGGACATGGCACTGCCCGAGCTGCCGCCTGGATGGGTACCAAGAAGTGAGAGACAAGTATCGGGGCTGTGCAGGTTATAGGGCCACCATCTCAGTGCACAGGTCACAGTGCTGGCCTGTTTAATACTACCAGGGACACCAAGACCAAGCGGTAGCAGAGGTGGCACCTCATACACCAGGGCAGCTCAAGACACTGGGAGTGGGAGGACATCAGCCCCACGGCCTTGTAGGTTTTAGGGTCAGGAAGAGGTAGGGACTGAAGAGACGTGTTCATATGGTGGCTCTTGGCAATGGGCTTATGAAGCAACGTAAGAGTCACCTTATGAACTTCATGAACCACTTTTTGTGAAGACTCTGAGGGCTGGCCAAGGGCTGAAATGTTCAATATGGGGCCATTCATACCACTGCCGCCCATGCCACACCCTTCCTTTGGGTGAGAAGACCATGCCAAATCTAGAGCTTCTGGCTGACATATTTGGCAATCAAAGATTGGCTTTAAATGCATTGTAAAGACTCAAAAAACCATAAACATTACATTCATGCTTGGAATACCAGACCAATGTGATGGGAAGACTTAAACGCTCCCTGTGTCTGTGTGCACGCATGTGGTTTGCTTTTAGGGAAAGCAAGTCCCTGCTTTACAGAGGCAATTCTTCCACCAGTAGTTTGAGTACTGGAAGTCAAACACATTCCACTATCTGTGTGCCAATTACACACTGCATTCAAGGCAGCACGTATTTTACAGCAGGTTAATTAGCACTGGGTCACGTTTTTCAAGCAAATGAAGAAAGGCCCTGAAAAATGCAGCTCAGGGAACATGAAGCTATTCACAAATTATATATAGTTGAGTTCAGAAAGTGGTTTCTGTTGCAACATAATGACTCTGTGCCTGCTAGGTTAAATCAACATTGAAGCGTTTCATTACAAATGGCCTGATCTTTTTCAAAACTCCATGAATGTCAGGATTTTTATCAGCTGTAACTATAAGCCTATATATTGTTTGGTCCTGGACGCAAACCTATAGCTATCTGCTCAGTGGCTGAAAAATGCTGATGTTGTGTAGAGGCTCTTAAAGTGTAGTCAGGGTTTGTCTGAGGGCACCTGTTCATTTTGGAAAGCTGGTGGGATCACTTACAGCTTGTTGGCACAGGGAGAAATACCTAGTAAGAACATCTTACACTTTCTTTACTTTCAAACTTTCCTGGTCCAAGCCTGGCACTTCTAGTGTGGCAACCATTCAGCGACAGAGAGCACAGCCTCGCAGAGTCATTAGTGGAGCGACAGTTTTAGCCCACCTGTCCTGCCCCAAGTGCCATTAATCCTCTCTTCATCTCATGTAATGCTACACCGCACAGAGTTAGGCCTGAAGATCCAGTTCCATGTGCAAAAGTGCTCCAGTAAGAGGAGAGTTATTGCTTCTATAATTACTGTGGCCGATGAATCAGATCCCAGACCACGGGTTCACTGCCACACCTCTGAAGCATACAGCGACCTACACACCAGCTCAGGGTTCGGCCATTCAGCCCTGTTAACCTAGCAGACACAAAATGCAGAGAGCACCTACCCTAAAGCATTTTGGTCCCAAAAGGATGAGGTTCAAAAAGTTTGTTAAGAGAAGTAGCTGTTGTAATTGGTGCTTACCACACAATAATCCCTCCTCTCTAATCAGTCTGCGAGACATGAGGAACGAGTCCCTGTCGTTGCATTTATACCACTGATCAACCACCTGAAGAGAAAGCAAGAAGGTTGATTTCTGGAAGTGTTATTTCAGGCTGTCCCAAACCCATGAGGCATCCGTGGTGCTGATGCCTACAACATCTGGCAGCTTTGAGCTGCTTTCCACACTGGTTGAAAACAAATGCATTTGTCAGGGCATCCCCAGTTTGGAGGGTGTGTGCAGGCACCTTTCCAGCTAGCACCCTTTCCTTGTAGAGTTAGGGACGTCTGAGAAGTGCAGAGTCAGGATGTGATGTTCATGATGTCCCAGGCTAGGCTACATTAATGGTCAAGATTTTACCAGGCAAAATCAGATCCAACTACACAGAGTGTGGGCTTACTACAGGTCAAAACTCTAAAGCTCTGTTGGAGGCAGCAGAGATGTAGTTAACACCTGAAAACAGAAAGAATCTGGGGTCAGAGGCTGCGGGGGACCTTTCTAAGAATGAGGCTGGGGGAGCACAGACAGCTTGAGTTAGGGCTTTAAAGCTCTGTGCCTGGTGGCAACTGATACATGAAGAAGCAGCTTGACAAGAAGCTGTACGAGGATCACGATCTGTTGTTTTAAATAGCCTGGATCTCGTCTTCCAGCCCATAAGTGGTGCAGAGATTCTGCTGTGTGCGTGAGGTGCCTATGACAATGAAGGCTCAGGAAACGCTAGCGTGATGAAGAGCAGCCTCAGCACTCACCTCTTCTGTGTGACCGTCGAACGAGAGGCATGCTCTGAACACTGGTGAGGATGAGCTGGAGTGCTGGTACTGTGGCATATTCCCTGTTTGCCCCTGTATTTGGTTTCTCCTTGTAGGTCAGTTATAATCGTATTTACTCAGAGAGATGCTTTAGTGCCGGGGTCCCAATCCCCCCTCAACAGCTTGTTCTGCACTGGGAAGGTGCACAAGTAGCCTTAAGGGCTGGGCCACAGCTGGGTGCCAGAGCTGGCTGCTGGCTACCTTTGAACTTGGGAGGAGGCTGGATACAAAGCCAAAGATCAGACAGAGGCCTCTCATCACACGGCTACTCACTGATCTGTCAAGGACAGTAGGGATAAAGTCATGCCCAATGCCCTCCACTTCAATGGCTGTGGTGTTCATCCTGTTCGTCTCACTGGGCAGGGCGACGATGGAGCCATCAGGATCTACACCAACGATCTTTGAGGGAAGGAAGTTTTGTTAAACCACAAAGGGAATTTAGAAATAGTCAAACACACCATTCAGAGGAAAAAATACGTACACCCTTATCAGCAACATTTTCCTTCCCTTTATATTCCTTAATATTCCTATCCACTGGCAGCATGGATAGCTTCCAGGATAAAAAAAGTAGTTTCCCACTGGCTTTTTAAATAGATCCTAGGTCGTGTTCAACTGCTGCAGGAATGACTGGTGGCTTAAAATTTTATCACTCTCAAGGTGTTTGTCATCACCCCTTTGGCAGAGCCTGCTACTTCCAAAGCTCAACCCTTAGGATAGTGTGAGTGCTCCTTAATCTGCTCCAGTGGAAAGCCAGCCAGCTCAAACCTGTGGGAAGCTGTGGCTACAAACATCATTTCTGGATCTAGTTGTGCTGGCTGATATTGGCACCTCCCTGGTTGCTTATAGCTTTACATCTGGGCTGAGGTTGCCTCCCTCAGCACTCAGCTTAAGAAGGGATGGTGACACTGCCCCACATGCAGCTTCAAGCAGTCAGCGATGTTATCTATCTCATGCCCAGATCCCCCAGCAGCTGGGTCCACACCATCTCAATTTGCCTCTGGTGGATCAGGGATTGCTGACATGCCAGCTACGCCGGGGAGGCAGTAACTGTCAAGCCTCCAGTCTGCCTTGAAGCTCTGCAGAATGAGCATCTATGACTGGTGTCAACCATACAGCATGGAGGCTTTTGCAACAGCACATGAGCAGCACTTGCACAGCCTGCTCCCCCCCATGCCTGGAGCTGCCAGAGCAGAAACTTCCAGCAGGCAGGTTAACCAGGAGCAGGAGCAGTAATGCTGTCAGCTGGGCCAGCCACTTCTGCGGGGGACATCTGACAGTGCAAGGGGCAGGGCACCGGGCAGGGCGGCGTTAGTAACGGGGCTGTGGAGCCTTCGATTTCTAAGGCACTTGGATGGATCTAGGTCAAGCTGAGCATAACACCAAATTGCTTCCAACAAATGCAAGCTTGCTGTGGAAAAACAAATAGATGGAGACAACAACTGCTAGCTCAGGTGAGCCGTGGGGTTAGGCTTGCTCAAAAGCACAGAAAGGAAAACCCATGGGGGCCGCAGTTCCCAAAGGGCAGCCCTGCCTCCCAGCTTACCTTGCACTCTGGGCACTTCTCCTTCAGCTTCCTGGCGATGCCAGTGATGGTGCCTCCTGTGCCAGACCCCATCACCACCATGTGGACCTTGCCTGCAGACCAAGGAAGAGAGAGGTTTGCAGAGACTCAGCATGGCCTCCAGCACAGTCTCCCATTTATTCATGGCCCTGTGGTCCTCGGCTGCTACAACCCCATGTGCAGAAAGGATAGGCAGAGTCCATGCTAGCGGCCAAAGCGTGGTCTTGTGGCGAAGCTCAGATGAGCTTGCAGGATCTGAGCACAGTGATCCTGCCTCAGCACAGGCAGCTGAACGTGACCTCCAGATCTCTCACTGGCCTTCATGATTTCTGCATCTTTGGCATCTGCTGGCTTAAGGGGGAGGGAGTATCTCAGCACTTCCAGACCTTTCAAACCACACCGCATCAAAGCAAAGCACGCACGTGAATAGCAGCATATATCAGTAACAGGCACAACTTCTCCGCTAGTGTTAGCATCCACAGTGGAGAGATGGCAGAGCTCTGCCCGGGCACCAGCGTTGGTCAGATGTAGCCCCACTGGCATCAGTGAAATTATACTGACTTAGGACTGGTAGGAGCAGAATCAGAGTCAGGCCTTCAGAGCCTTATGCTTCTACTGCACTGGGGAAAGGGGACTTGTAATTCAGCGCTGGCAAGCGGTAGGAGCAAATATAAACGTTGTAGTGGAGGGAAGGCTGGGAGACTCTTGTTCCTGTTGCCACCCGACTGCTTTGCTGTTATGGTAACTGCTCTCCAGTTAAAATCCTTGAGTCCTCTTTACATTTTTAGTGCTCCCAGTATTGGCAATTAATTCCACTTCTATCTGCACAGACATGGACTGGGATAGTCCTTTATTCTCCCCCAGCCATCACATCAAATGTCATTAGTCTGTGAAGTTTCAGTCTATTTAGATTTGCAAATGAGTGTGCTGGATCAGATGCAGCCTGCCATGCCCTGATGGACTTAGATTCCCCAGTGAGGCCTCTTGGGCCATCTTGTGTTCCCAGCTGACAGGTCTCAGAGATGTGGTAGCCACCAAGAGAGAGGTTCTTCCACCTTGGGTACAGCCTGAATTTGTTGAGCCTCTGATCTCCTCCCTCAGGCTTTTGAAATGGGAGGCCATAGCAGGGAAGCCCTGCAGGCTCAGGTGTATCTGGAGTGAATTATGAGAAGTCCTTACACTCTGCATGTCTGTATTATTAAGGGTGCCTTCACCTACAGAGGCCCTTTTGGCTGTTTCTAGACATTTAGGTCAATAAATGATGTAAAACGAGCCTCTCAGAGAGGACTATAGCCCTCTGCACATCCCCAGCACGCAGAAACAACAGCGCAGGTGGTACCTTCACACTGCTCCAGGATCTCCTCAGCTGTGGTGTCGTAATGAGCCAGGGGGTTGCTTGGATTTCGGTACTGTTTATTTCAACAGAGAACATCATGAGTTACTGTGTGAAGCGTAGGTCAAATACCGAACTAGCAATAGCTCCTGATGAGCTTTACCCAAAGCATGCAACTGCCCCCTCCTCTCCCTGGTGAGGGGTGGACTGGAAACCCAGCCAGGCCAGGTCACAGGTATTCCTCCTGGTTGTCGCTTTGGGACAGGTTTCCAAGGACACTTGGGATTTGTCCTCACTGGAAGATTAACTGTGCCCACAAACGCTCACTCTGTGGCACTTGGTGCCCATTCGGTGTGGGGATGGTGCAGCATTGCCAGGTTCTGTGGGATCTGGTGGTTCTGTTAAAGCCCTAGCTGCCGGAGGGAAGAGAGCTCCTCGGTATTTCAGCTATTGCTTAGATAGAAGCATTTCAGCCTTTTCTGTTGCCTTAAAAAGGTTGAAAACACAGCCTCACAATACTCCTAAAAAGCTCAGAAAACGAAAAAATAATCCCTCTTCAAAAGCCATATTAGAAAACTTTTTTCAAGTATATACATATATATAATTTTGAGAGCTGCTTTGTCATTTAGGGGCATTTGTGGTTGGCCCCACAGCAAGTCAAGTGGCTGGGAATTCTGGGCCAGAGTGGTTGTCCTGCCTGTAAGGAGGGATTTACCACACAGGTACAGCACTGAAATGTGTGCAGCCCCATGTTCACACCCATAGATCAGGCTGCTTCTGAAAAGTGTATTCAGACACTGAGGTCCCTTTTTCTTAAAAAGAAGGAGCTTCCCTGACTTTTCTGCACTATAGGGTCTACCTACTTGCTATAGGGATGCCTTCCTGCAGCGGGGTCAGACTGGAGGGAGAAGTGCCCTCCTGTACAAGACCCAGTGCGGGAGGAACTGCTGGCGTGAATCGTCGGTGTTTGCCCTTTACAGCACAAGGCTTAGTTTTGAGGCAGAACAGAGGCTGCTAGCCAGGCATAAAAAGTGATTTTTTTTTTTCAGGTCAAAGTTAAATCTGAAGAAATTTGAGGAGTCTTTGAAGTGTACAAGAAAACCCAGCCTCGCCCACATCCAGGATTTGGCAGAAGTATTACAGGTTTGGAAGTGTCCCTTATTTTGCTTCTGCCACCCCGTGCTTTACAGAGGAGCGATTAAGTTTCAAATGCCATAAAACACTGACGAAATCTGCCTCCGTTGCCAGTTTGAACGAAGCCCCCAAACACCAGCACACTTGGAGCACGCACTATAAATCTTCTTTGGAAAGAGAGTCGGTGGAGGAATGGCGTTTACCTGGTCCAGGATGTGAGAGTTTGGGATTTCACTTTTCAGCCTCCAGGCAACACGAATGTTAGACTCCGGGGCATCAAAGCGGGTGCACGGGGTCCGCACAATTTCCACACCCAGCGCCTTCAGAATATCGACCTTTGGGAGGGAAGAGAGGAGATGTCACGCAACTGATCCCACGTAGCAATGGTAACCCGAACCTACAGGCTCATGGCAGCGTCAGACGCCAGAGGAGCTTTGCACGCGGGAGACATTTAGCATTTGGAGATACAATGTCTGATTCTCAGTTATACTATCTCTGACATCCTCCTGGCACCCAGGGCCTCCTGCCTGAAGCTGGCACATGGATTCAAGCCTGGCCTCGTGCCCTGTCCTACTCGGAGGGCAGGCTGGGGACACGGCAGAGGTAGGTAACACTGTGCTGCTCCTGGGTGCCTGGGGAAAGCGGCAGAGGAAAGCGGGGAGCAGTGTCTCCTATACACTGCCGTCTGAGCCCCTGCATGCAAGGAAGAGATCTTAAAGCTGTCTTAGCCCCAAGTCCCTTCTCTCCCCTCACCAGGCATGGGGAAGGAGCAACTACAAATCAGCCTAGGGTATTAATCCACTGGGAGATGCAGCTTGTTGGGGGATAAGGAGGTCAAAAGAGAAAGGTAGGTGAAGTGTTGGGGCACCTGGAGATAGAGCCCTTGGCAGCTGGAGGTGGCATCTGATCCAGACTGAGCTTAAGTGACATCTAGGTTGAAATGAAAATGGCACTTTGGAGAAGGGCTCAGTTTTGAGCCAAGTCAGGGTCCAGGTCTGGCTTCACTGGCATGATTTCAGCTGAGCAGTTTGAGAGACTTTTGGCTGCCCAAGGCGGAGATTTCTGCCATCTCCGGGATGGCAGTTTTACCTGATCATCAGCTCTCGTGCAAGTGACTTGGCTTCCACCATCTCGAGAAAGCAGCTCAGACAACCAGTAAGTGTCTCCAGGTTAAAGAAAACATAGAGGAACAGAGAGACCCAGGGACACATCAGATGTCGGGGGGAAGTTGGCAGGACCAGCAGCTGAGCCCCGGTGCCTGCCTGCCTCTCCTCCGCTCCATCCAGCCCTTGCCCTCACAGACGGCAGATGTTGCTCCATTTCTCTGCAGCCACCCACCATGTTTGGCCAACACAGGACCCCAGCTGCACCACTGACGCTAGATAACCAGCCAGGCCAGTGTGCTTTTTTTTTTTTTATCAAGAGGCAATCTTCTGAATAACTACAAAGCTATGCCAGTGTATGTGGCGAGGCTCGTTATCCTTTAAAAGAGAGGGCAACACCGTCTTGAGAAAGAGAGGCAGAGACAGACAGGAAAGGAGACGTTCCCCAGCTGCGGGGTGATACCGTACAGAGCTCTGACCTTTTCCATGCTCATTTTCTCCGGCAAGACAATGATGCAGCGGTAACCTTTCACTGCAGCTACCAGCGCCAGCCCAATCCCTGGGTGGTGGGGAGGAAAGGGAACTGGTTGACAACAACATTTGGTGAGGCCGACCGACAAGCGCTGCTCCCTACGTTCCTCTCTCCCGCCAGTGAACATAACCTAGAAATGTTCACGGGCAAGCTACAGGCGAGGGCATCCTCCGCGAGCCCCTGGGGGTGTGCTGGGAGCACCAGGGAGTGGGAGGATGTGCTAACGGGTGAGTCGAGCTGCGGTATCCCTCCTGCTCGCAGGCATCTGTTAGCGTGGCAGAGAGTGAATGGCAAGGCTGGGGAGCACTTTCCTCCCCTCACCAGGGCTCAGGTCTCCTCCTTTTCTTTGGCCAAAACATAGGGGAGAGGTGATTTTGTTTCAGGGGTGCCTCTCCCTCCCCCTGGAACGCTCTGGGTTGGGGACACACACACGAAGCCGCACATGTCGCCCCGTGGCGAGCAGTCCTCTGCTCCAGTTTCACTGGGGTGATGGATAGAGCCAGCTGCTCCCCAGCAGTGAGGCCAGAGCAGCATGTGCCTGCCATGGTGGGGACACTGGTGCAGGCAGCAGCGAAGGGACATGGAAACTTGCACTGAGGGTCCTGTGCAGGCTGCAAAATAGTGGGGAGGCTCCTCTGTTGGACCCCCTCATCTCATACCCCACCATAATCTAGTGCCTGAGCAGGATGACAGTGACAAGAAAAAAAAAAATTATTTATCTTCCAGCTCATCAGGAAAACACTGTCTGGGAACCTCTGAATATTCAAGGGCTTCCCAACCTGAAAACACCCGGGGTTACCCCAGCTCCTCCAGCTCCCAAGGCTGTTTGCCTTGCCAGAAGGTAACCTGCCATGCATGTCTGCATGGGTGTGGGACCCTCGCAGGCCCTCAGGAATTTCAGCAACAAGGCACCTTGGCACCCTGGTGCCCGCGGTTGCCGGGAGGAGAGCCGACGGGAGGATGGAGCCAGAGCTGTGGGGCCCCAAGCTGACCTTGTAACTGCGAGTGCAAGAGCACCTCAACTCCCTGCCCCTCCTGCAGCCCCTCAGAGATGCCACCCTGCCTGGTACCCTGGCAGAGGGAGCATCTCTGCTCTTCCCACCTGTGTTTCCTGAAGTGGGCTCAATCAGTGTGTCTCCTGGTTTTATAATCCCGGCTCTCTCTGCATCTTCCACCATCCTCAGGCTGATGCGGTCCTTCACACTGCCCCCCGGGTTGAAATACTCACATTTTGCCACTGGAAATGAAAGGGGAGGCTCCGTCAGGGACAAGCTGCAGCCAAGAGCACCGTATCCTTGCTCCCCCAGCCCTCACTGCAGACATTTGAGGACACCCATTCCTCCCCTGCAGGATGGTCCTTTGCTCAGGAGAGTGCATCCACCATCTGCTTACAGCTTGTCATGGATTACCCATCAGCATACCTACCCATAGTCCATCTTTCCCCCGTGTTTCATCTACCTGCAGCACGCTGAAGGCAGTGGGCAGGTCTGGTAAGTCCAAGATGGATTTAAAATCAACTGGACACACAGTGATTGCTAGGCAGAAGGTCCCACACTGGTATGATACACCTTGCTGCCCTGCCTTGAGGATTCTTCTCTGAGCAAGGCACTGTCAGGGTTAACAGCAAGGTCTCATGGTCTTTCCTGGGGCATGGCAGTTATTAACAGATACCTGAAAATGTGCCCTGCTGTAGGGATGATGTGTAGTCCTGAATGGTGTGCCATAAAGAAAAACAATAGAAAGGGCACTTTCAAGTGTCAGCCAAAATTATGCTTTCTTTGCTGAACTACCAAAAAACCCCAACTGACTGAGACGTCCCAAGGCGCGCTCAAACTGCAAGGCACACCTCTGTTCCTAGTCAGGCCTTCCACACTGCTAACGCTCGGGGCAGGACTATTCCCACCAAGGTTTTGATGAGCATCTACATCTGAACTGATGGTACTGAGCTCTGTTTTATGGACAACAGAGCAAAATAGGTACTTTTAGGATGTCATTCACTTCATCCTAGCAGAGACAGCTATAGCAGGCTGACAAATCAATCAGATACTTAAGCAGCCAAAGCAACTGGGGAAAAAAACACCTTGTGCTCATCATTACATTTTATAATGCAAAGTGCCATTATTTATTATATAAAAGTATATATATTATATTTTATATATATACTATATA